AGAAAAGGGAAAAAACAAGCAACATGTTCGAAACCAGCAGGAATTGTTCGACAAACGAAATAAGCTACGTAATGCACCAGAGTGCATACCATTGTACCATCTAAAAGATTACACAAACCAAAGATGTTCCATATTCAGCACCAATCAGAAACCATGAATCTTGATGTGTTCTTTCTTCACAATGCCAGCCTGAAAAAACCCGGAAAAAAATAAAAATGAAATATAATCGAGGTACTAAAAAAAGTATAACCGAGAAAAGAATACCTGAACAAGGAACGTTGAAACATTCTTCCTCTGGTCACCTTGAAGTTGTATAACCTACAACAGCATGTGGAAATATAAAAGGAAGCCAATAGAAAGCGCGTTTTTGGAGAAAAAAGATAGGTAAAATAAAATAAACAAAATAAAATAAGGTTCTGTGTTTGAGTAGATTAGATACCTGGCCTAGTTCAGGGTCTTGAACAACTGTACCATTGCAGCAAAACTCTTTCTTCAGGTCCTTGAGGATTTTATTGTAGCTAAATTCCTTCTTCAAACCCTGGACAGTTGTCAGGCTTTTCCTACCATTTCTTTGCTGTATGCGAATATGCACATACTCTTTAGATCCTGCACCCGAGTCTTCAGCTTTTGCCTCGGCAAAAGGATCTGATAATGCAAACAAAATGCTCGAAAAATCAGGCCGCAGCTTATAAGCTAGCTGATAGCTGCTAAGTAATTTTCCAGCTTATAGATTATGACTTACTACTGAAAAGCTAGCTTATAAAAGTATTTGAAAAAATTAGCTGATAAGCTAGCTGAAATACAAAATTCAACAGAAAAGCTACCAAAAAAGCTTATGAGATAAGCTCGAGCTTTTTAAAAAAAATCGTCCTACCAAACGAAGCTTATTTGCATACATGAAGCTTATAAGCTAACCAAATAAGCTATAAGCTAGGTTATTTGTGTGCCAAACATAGCCTACGGTTGAGATCTAAATAGTTGAAATGGTTATAAAGAGTAATAATAAGTGGATAAATGGCTTCAAGGCAATAATGAAAGGCCGATGATAAACACTTACCGAAGGCGCTGGGGATTTGGACTTCAAAATCAGACATGAAACTTGGTTACAGTAATTGATGAGAGAAACCAACACTGCAGAAAACAGGAACTTTATAAACTCAAACATAATTTTGAACAACATTCGAAAAGGGTCAACAACTCAAAAGAATTTGGTGTTTCTCATGATGTTGAATTAGCAAAAGTAATCAGAACAACAAAAACATTTGCTACTCTTTTCAGTTTGGTGTTTTACTAGCAAATCATGAATACTAAGAGTATAATCCACTATAAGTCGTATGGCTCGTAAAAAAAGACCTGACTTTTTGTGTCTACTGCAGAAACCTCACATATTAGTTTTGACTTCTCACAAAAAGAGGAATCAAAATTAACCACTAAAAACAGGCTCCAACTGAACACCAGAATTAGGTTGAAATATACTCAGAGAATGTCAACATATTGTGTAAAGTATGAGCTTTCATTTGTATTCAAAAAACCAAACCAAATATATAAGTTCAATTGACCTTTACGCTTTGGGCATATAATTGCCATCACTCTAGATTGTTGACAATTATGTTGGATGTTCATTGACGATGTTCATAATTTACTGAATAAATTAGAGTGTTTCATGCTCTACTAATTCACTACATTTCAAGAAAAATTGTCATATCATTGAATTAAATAGAGGCTCATGGAAAGCACAAATTTCATATGAAAAAAGGGCATTAAAAATCAACATTTACTGTTTTACATACTACCATAGTATAACTTTCCCACATCATTTCTTCACAATTTGAAATCATACATAAAAAAAGGGGCGTACCAACATAATCTCAAAAGATTTATAAGTCAACAAAACAGTCCTCGCAACTTCATTAAACAAAAACCTATCTTCTGTATACATCAATGAATAAGACTTAACATTGTTATTACTCGCTTCTCAGTTTGAAATCTTTGCTTTGGTAATTGCATAGCCTTCTTCCCATGTTCAAGTAGTACATCATATAACAAGAACACATCATCTAAACCAACCTAGATACAAAAATTTCCCCAATATATCCTGAAAAATAGCCGTCATGCTCTACATCCATCATTACAAAATTCCAAAGAAACAAAACGAAAAACTTATTAACGAAGAATATTCGTGTGTGAAACTAATTCCAATTTCACATGGACTATACCACAATAACACAAACAGAAAGAGCTATGCTGTTAATGGCCTCAGCAATCCATCTAGTTCATTGCCTACACATATAATTGTAATTTAAGGTCACAGTCATTGGAAACTGTATCCTCTCTCAATTAGCGTTCAACCTTCATAACAAAATACACCATATTAAAAAGATCCCACCTTTCAACAATTTCTCGAAACCAAGACAACTTAGAAGCAAGAATCAAGAAAATATCTGAAAGATCAAATCACAAATCTTAAAAAGCAAGAAATATAAAAATAAAATCCTATTCAACCAAATAAATTGAAGAACAAGAATCAAGACAACTCAGGCTACAAACAGAATCAGCCGATTCTTCAGAATAGTACCATCCGCAATATTTTAAACAATAAACACAGGACGAGCCGCGTTGTAATAGATCAACGATGTTACACAAACAGAAATTTGTATAAACAAAAATAGAAACCAATAAACAGAGGATAGCAGCAGAAATACCAGATCGGATACGGAGCACCACTAACTTGAGAAAATTCGATTAAAGGAAAGATGGCGAGAGAAAAATTGTGGGATTAATGAATGGAGATAAAAGGAGAGGGTCCTCGTATCATATAAAGGAAACTTTTCCTTTGGTTCTAGGGATTGTCGGTTACTAGTTCTCTTTTTAGTAGTATTATATATTATATATTATTATGACATATAATAATTTAATTAATTTAATATTTACTGTATAATCCATCCTATTATTTTAAACTAATACGTACCCGTACGATGCACGGGAGAGAGATATTAAATGAATTATTTTCATAGGCTCTGTCCGTTTAAGTCTGAGAAGGGTTATTATCCATTTTCCATCTATTTTAATCATCGTGAAGTCTCGTTTAAGTCTGAAAAGAGTTATCATCTATTTTCCACCTCTTTTAATCACCCGTTAAGTCTAAAAAAATAGAGTTGTAATCTATTTTTCACATCTTTTAATCAGCATTGTTTTATTAGTTAGAACATTAAACGTGAGCATGTTAGGGCTAACTTGTAAAATAATTAATATATTATCTCACTAACACATTTATACTAATATAAATTTAATTTTATTATATATGTTTATTCCTTGATATAAGAGAAAATAACAATTTTACTTATTCTTATTCACTATATAGTAGTTAATTATTAAACTTTGTTGTCATATAATGTCATTATTATTTATAAAGTTATACAAGTTGCACGTCTTCTTGTTCTTTTTATTTTATGTAATGAAATATATTTAATGCACGTTGGTATTATTTATATAAGTAATCAATTTAAAATATGTAAATAAATTTAAAATTAAATAGTGTATAAGTAATGTACAAAATATACACATATATTTTTTTAGAATTTAATTTTGTATACTAATTAAACAACTTTGATTTAAGAAAAGTCATGAACTCAATCTCTTCTAATATCAATATTTTTCTAATTTGCATTGTAATGATTATTCTTATTATATATATATAAATTAGAATTTTTGCGACACCAACCAAACTAAATATCACAACAACCAAGTAACAATTATGAAAAAACTCATAACACAATAACTATCAATTAAATTTGGTAATAGAAAAATTGCATACATATATATAAAAATATGAGGATTCTATATTTCTATTAACTGATATATACACCACGTGTATATTTTGTTAAGATATATTGGAATGTTCAATTTCATAGCATAATAACAATCAGTCTTAAAAAATCGAAAATCTTATTGAAATGTCATATTTTTCTGTTAAAAAAAAGTTCCCATAAAAAATAATTATATCATAGCAAATTTATTGTGTAATTGAATAAATTTCTATAATGAAGCCCGATTTTCTGTACAAAAATAAAGCAACAACTTCCACATTTTAAGCAAATCAATTAATGTTGGTCCGTTTTTGCTAAGAAAATAATAAATAAATAAATTATGATTAATGGAAAGTAATTAATGATGAGAGAATTTTATCATATCTGTTTTTAAAAATCGTAACAGAAAAATAAATATCAAATAAAACTGTATAATATATATGGAAACAGTAATGGAAATAAATGATGTTGACTTTTTTAGCTACTGAATTTGGTAAATAGCACTACCTTTAATATAAGTATAGATGAATAGTTTCATAGTTGGTGTTAATTTATGGTGTTTTGTTGGTTTATTTTTCGATTTCTGGAATTTTGTGCTTCTTAAATGTCAAATTTTATGCAGATTTGATTTTTTATTCATGTGGATTTTTAAATATAATTAGATTTTGCAAAAGTTAATTTAAATTTAATATTTTTTTATGTTATATAGCCCAAACGCGCGCCTAGGTGCAGTGTCAGCCCGCTCGGTGGGGCATTTTTAGTGTCTAAGGGCTCAAGTTAGGTTGGTTTTTATTTGTAGTTGGTGAAGCATATACAGAGGAGTAAACAATCAAAAAAGAACTCGAGTTCAAGCTCAGGCCCAAGTCTTTATCGTCTCGTCTCGGCCTTGTTAACTAAATGAGATCGAGATCTGCTCATTAATCAATATTAATGAATCGAATTCAAACTTTTTTTTATCGAATTCAAGCTTTAACGAGTCAAATTTGATTCTTAACGAGTCAAACTATAGAAAATTACATAAACATTCATATTATCGAGTCTTGACGAGTCGAACCTCTTTAATTAAATGAGCTCGAACATTCCCTTTTATCAAACTAGGAACGATAAACAAATAGAGCCAAACTCGAGCTTTAGCGAGTTACTCTTTCCTTCTATGAATTCTTAGCACATCTTGTTAGTTACGGGGTAATTTTTCAACGAAAGAAAAATAATAACTGTCCTTTACAGCATAGTAGAGCGTTTTTTACTTCGGTTGGTTTCGAAAACAAAAATATTTTTAAGCATGGTATTAAAAGAGAGCCGGAAATTACAGTATGTGACTAAAGACGAGTCATGCTAGGGATAATGAAAATACGCAATCACATTAAAGTTTAAACCTTGTACAATATAGAAACGTCAGAGTCCTGCATAAATAATTGCATGGAGATAGAAAAAACAGCAAAATGAACCTTCAGATTAAGACACAAACACTCATCAATCTGTCTCATCCCAAATGAAGACTCCAGTAACAATGTAAAAGTCGGGTAAAAATCCTAACCAGCCATAAACTGAAGTTTGTAATAACTATCAGTAAAATAAGCTGTTACACCATAATTGAGTCCATAAATTTTGACACTCACGATATAAGCCGTATCTTTAGTTTGTAATACCATCATGACATCCATTCCCTATCGTTTGTCCAGCAACAACGTCTCAGTCTATATTGAATGGTGGACCTGGAAATAATTTCTTGCCCAGTGTAAAGTGTTGAAGTATAATTATGCCTATTGTCATCTATTAAAACATTCTACAAAATTCTCTCGTACATATAGATCAGAGTGAAAAGAACCCACTTGGCTTCCCGCCTCAAAAGTCACTCGAGTTCTGTGTCTTTTCTTTTTCTATCTTCGTCGTTTTGATTCTTTCCGCATTTCGGCCAGGTAAGTCTCCAAGTTGGGCTTTTCCCATAGGCGTCTTTGAACAAGATCGTCCTTTGTTGATTCATCTGAAAGCACACACAAAAAATTGAATAAGATGAAAGAAAAATCACGCAGTGCTAGAAAATATTACGATGAATAGA